TTGGGGCAGGCCACTGGCCGTCAGGACTCCTGGGTCTGTACGGCCAGCCCGGGGAAGGGAGTGGCTTCTCTTGGTTTGAGCAGGGGGCGGGGACTGGAACTCAGGACTCCTGGGTTCTATGGGAAGGAGCTCTAGGAGGGGAGTTGGATCTAGTGGTCAGAGCAGGGGTGATGGGAGAGGAGGGGTGAGCTGGAAACATGCTTCTGGAATTTGGTTTCACCATTTTCCTTTTCAAACAAGTCTGTCTGTCGGGGCTTGGCTCCAAAAATGCTGCTGACCTGGCTTTTGCAGTAGCACCCCGCTTCCCTGTCCCCCAGTTGGCTGGTCTCTCCGAAAGTTCCAAAAAGAGCCAGATCCATTCATGGAGGGTAGGTCCATCCGTGATGATTAGCCAGGATGGGCAGGGATGGTGTCTCTGGCCTCTGTCAGAAGCTGGGAGTAGGCGACAGGGGATGGATCACTGGCTGGTTTCCTGTTCGGTTCACTCCCTCTGGGGCGTCTGGCATTGGCCGCTGTCGGCAGACAGGACACTAGACTGGATGGGCCTTTGGGCTGACCCAGTCTGGCCATCCGTATTTGTTATGCTCCCTCCCCCCACCGTGCCTGCAGTCTGGGGAGCGCTTGGGGGGACAAGCCCATCTCCAGCCTGTGTGGGAAGTTCCCCCCCAGTGGAATTTCCAGGGAGATTTCCTCAGGCTCCCGTGGGAGCCAACCCGCGTCAGCCCCCGTCAGCACGCATTGCGCTGACGCCACCGCCTGCCTGTGCTCCAGGGCACGGGCTGTGGGCTGTCTCCCGGGGAGGCCCTGTGGGCAGGACTTGCTAATTGGCAGCCCGGGGGTGGCTGTCCTGGGTGTGTCTGGGAGGAGAATCTTCACTGCACCCGTCACACACGCCCCTTGCACGTACACCCCTCTAGCAGTTCACACCGCTTGTACACACCCCCTAACACCTCCATTCCTCCCACACACACCGCTTGTACGCCTACCTCTAACATCGCTACACCCTGACACATACTGCTCATACGCCTCCCTCTAACACCCCCATTCCTCCCACACACACCGCTTATACGCCTACCTCTAAGATCGCTACACCCTGACACATACTGCTCATACGCCTCCCTCTAACACCCCCATTCCTCCCACACACACCGCTTATACGCCTACCTCTAAGATCGCTACACCCTGACACATACTGCTCATACGCCTCCCTCTAACACCCCCATTCCTCCCACACACACCGCTTATACGCCTACCTCTAAGATCGCTACACCCTGACACATACTGCTCATACGCCTCCCTCTAACACCCCCATTCCTCCCACACACACCGCTTATACGCCTACCTCTAAGATCGCTACACCCTGACACATACTGCTCATACGCCTCCCTCTAACACCCCCATTCCTCCCACACACACCGCTTATACGCCTACCTCTAAGATCGCTACACCCTGACACATACTGCTCATACGCCTCCCTCTAACACCCCCATTCCTCCCACACACACCGCTTATACGCCTACCTCTAAGATCGCTACACCCTGACACATACTGCTCATACGCCTCCCTCTAACACCCCCATTCCTCCCACACACACCGCTTATACGCCTACCTCTAAGATCGCTACACCCTGACACATACTGCTCATACGCCTCCCTCTAACACCCCCATTCCTCCCACACACACCGCTTATACGCCTACCTCTAAGATCGCTACACCCTGACACATACTGCTCATACACCCCCTCTAACACTCCCACTCCTCCCACACACACTGCTCGTACACTTCCCTCTATCCCCCTACACCTCTCACACACCTCTCACAGCTCGTACACCTCCCTCGAACATCGCCACAACCCTCACACACACAGCCTATATGCACCCCGTTGCATTCCCACATCCCTCACACACACACACACACACAGCCCATAACCCCCTTATACGCCTCTCTCACACACAGAGCCCTTATACACCCTTTTTGTACCCTCACACCTTTCTCTCTCGCACACAGCTTATACACACCCCTTTGAACACCCTACATCCCTTGCAAACCCAGCTCATATGCACCCCTTTTCCACTCCCGTCACACACACAGCTTGTTCACCCCCTTTCCACATTCACACACAACAGCCTGTATGCCCCCGTTTATACTCCCTCACCTCACACACACAGCTCTTACAGCCTCCCCTCCCCTCACACCCTGCCTGTATATTCCCCTTGTACATTCCCAAAGCCTTCCCAGACACAGCCCTTATGCACCCCCAGACCCTTCCCACATGCTTGTACACACACCTCTTTTACACCCCACCCCCCCACAGGAAGAGGAACATCCTCCATGCCCCCGTTTATACTCCCTCACCTCACACACACAGCTCTTACAGCCTCCCCTCCCCTCACACCCTGCCTGTATATTCCCCTTGTACATTCCCAAAGCCTTCCCAGACACAGCCCTTATGCACCCCCAGACCCTTCCCACATGCTTGTACACACACCTCTTTTACACCCCACCCCCCCACAGGAAGAGGAACATCCTCCA